CTTGCCCAGCATCTTCAAAGATGAAAAGAAGACAGCAATTCCCTGCTATCATTTATTTGTCATATCATTACACTGCTATCTGTTCTTTTAAGGAACTCTGATGGCACAATGGTTAAGCACTTGACTGTTAACCAAATGCCGGTGGCTTGATCCCACAAATATCTCCATGGGAGAAAAGACCAGACAGTCTGTCCAGGAAACTGTATGGTACAGTTTTACTCTGTCATGCAGCGTCATTATGGGTTGGAATGGACTCAATGGCACACAACAAAAAAGATAGTTATTTGTCACTGCTATTTTGGAGTCCTGGTGTGGCACTATGGGTTAATGTGATGGATTGCAAAGTCAGTTTTAACCACAAGATTGGCAGTTCAAGCTCACCAGAGGCTCTTCAGAAACCCTATACAGGATCGCTATGAGTTGGAGCTGACTCAACGGCACTTACCATATCTTATTTTACTTCTCCTTTGTGTTCTTAAAGTTATTTTTTGCCTCTTCAAAGCACTTTTTCAACCTTTGTCCCATTAGATTAGAATCTCACAGTTCTATGAAGGAAGAAAATTTGTTGTTGTTAAATGCCATCGAGTCAGTTCTGACCCATAGCGACCCTGTACAGGGTTTTCGAGGGTGTAAATCTTTACGGGAGTAGAAAGCCTCATCTTTCTCCCGTGGAGCGGCTGGTAGTTTCAAACCGCTGACCTTAAGGTTCGCAGCCCGATTCGTAACCACTACGCTACCAGAGCTCCTTGAAGGAAGAAAATAGTTATTACTATTCCATCTTCTCAGCTGAGCAAATTAAAACAAGCAGAAATTGGTGACTTTCTTTGGCTCTGTCTATGAGCATTCTGCAGTAGGAAAAAAATAAGACTTTCTGCTCCCGTAAAGATTTACAGCTTCGGAAACCCTATGTAGGGTCACTATGAGTCGGAACCGACTCCATGGCACCCCACCATCACCACAAGTGACAGAGCTGAGACTAGAATCCTCACTGTACTTCTGTATGAACTGGAGAATTATCCTTCCTGAACTATAGACACTTACATACATATTCGAAAGTATTTTTTTAAATAAAAATAAGTAATCTGGAGGGATGTTCCTGTTTGCCTTATGTATTTTATAGATAGACCTAGCAACTAGGTTCATATTATTCAGGCTTGAAAGTTCTAAAGTTTGCTTGATAGTTACTAATGAGGAAAATCTTTCTTATACTGAATTTACTTTGATAGATGATTTTTCAAACATCAGTTGAATTTGGCGCTATGTTACATGTCTCATTGAGTGGAAAAGAGGAAGATGAAAGGGCATAATTAATTATAAGACCAACCTTAAGGTTCCTGTGCTTAATGGGCTGTCTAGCCTGAGGGGACTACTTAAGTGGTTAAACCCACCTGAGGCTGAGACCTAATTGCCACTACTACTGGGACTAATGAAGTTCTGCTTTTCTTAAGCAAGCTGAGGAGCATTTCTCCTGCTCTAGATAAAGATGTGGCCTATTATTTTAATGGGGGTAAGGGAGAAAAGTGAGAGAGAAGAAGATAATACATATTTAGAACAACAGCTTATGTGATGATTATCCCACAGAATCATTTCATAATAATTTGGCCCCAAAGAGACTTGTTTTGTTGTTGTTAAGTGCCATCATGTCGATGCCGACTCATAACAATACTGCATGGGTTTTCTGAGGAGCGACTGGTGGGTTTGAACAGCTGACAGTGTGGTTAGCAGTGCAGCACTTATCCTACAGACTTATTAAGGAATAAAATTTGAAAGCTTGTTACCATTTTCACACAAGTTAGTGTGGTCTGAAGCCTCTAAGCTTGAAATGGCTTATGGGAAATTGTATCAGCCACATGGAGCCAAATGCAGAAAAGAAACATCTCTGACTGATTGATTATACTTAGAACTCCAAGGCACGGTCAGCCATTATTGTTGTTGTTAAGTGCTGTTGAGTCGGTTCTGACCCATAGCGACCCTGTATAGGGTTTCCAAGGAGCAGCTACTGAGCTTGAACCACCGACCATGCGGTTCAAACCGACTTTGTAGTCCAGCGCATTAACCCACAGCGCCACACGTCAGTTGTAGGCTAGACTATTAGTTAGCTAAAGTCTGTCTCTGACAACCTCCAACTTCTTTTATGAAACTCCTTCTTAGCATTCATAGTGTCTCTTTCTTACTCTCTCTTGAGCTCTAATTGTCTGGAACCCCTACCTGCTTTAAATCTCTGCTCTCAACCTTCTAACTGCCACAGCCTATGAAACCTCCTCTCATTAAGTGGTCAGATTGGAGTTGTTGTTGTCAGCTGCCATCAAGTCAACCTCCAATTCATGACAGTCCCTTTGTGGAAAAAACAAAAAACTGGTGTGGAAGCCAGTGTCTGACCTCCTTAGGAAACCTGACTTCAAAACGGGGAAGCAGAATCAAATTCCACATCAACCCAAGAATGATTCTTATGGGACTAAGGTCAGGCTGATACCAACCATCCCTCCACAGAACTTCTCTACTGGTTTGATAATACATTACAATTGGCCACACAGAACTCAGATGGAGTACTCATGAATATGGGGTTTATTGGGGAAGTTGACAAGTTACAATGAGGGACTAGAAATGCTCAGTGTACAGTTCTTCCAATCAGGGCAGCCTCTTCCCTGCTGTGCCCACATGCAGGCCTACTTCTGGCTCTTGGCCTCTCAGTGATGAGGTCCCTTGACCTTTGCCCTGCTTAGGCAACCTTACAAAGCCGTTTAAGGGCTGCTGATAAATGCCCAGAGAGCACTCGACTCCACTACAAGTCTGCCCAAAGGCACTCAGACATAGTTCTATGGACTAGCAAGCCTAGCTTCCCTAATTAAGTACCTGGAGGTATGCTTCGAGGACAGTGACCCACAAATCTCAGTAGTATACACTAACAAAGTGCCTTTCTCATTCCAAATGAGGTCATATAGGTTCTCTGATCCTTGCAGTCACTCACAGACACACTGTTTCAAGCACTGCCAATTGTGCTTATTGTGCCAAAAGGAAGAAAACTCTAGAAGGCCTCATACCAGCAATAAATGTTTTGGTTTGGATGTGACAGACACATCTTGAGGGACCTTGGAAAGACAAGTAATGTTGATTGCCCTTGTTGTTGTTGTTAAATGCCATTGAGTCAGTTCCGGACCCATAGTGACCCTGTACAGGGTTTCTGAGGCTGTAAATCTTTACGGGAGCCGAAAGCCTCATGTTTTTCCTGCGAAGCAGTTGGTAGTTTTGAACTGCTGACCTTCAGGTTCACAGCCCGATTCGTAATCACTATGCTACCAGAGTTGACTGTCTGTACGTCTTACATCCTCTTTTATCCCTAATAACAAGCACAGTATTGGGCATAACAAACATGGTAAATATTTATTAGAATGAAGTGAATTCCAGCAACCCTGGGTTTTGGTTTTTGGTTTTTGGCAACGGAGGCAGGTGGTGTTCCTTGACTATCTTAAATAGAAATAACAGAACTCATCCCATAACACTGAAAACCTGAAGACGTGTAGATTTAGTCTAGAATCCCTGAGATACTAGAGGTAACGAAGGGTTCAGATCTCTTCCATTTGATTGAGGAGATCAGAATTCTTGGATAGATCATCTAGGTTAGCTCATTTTCATGAACATCATTTTCCTTCTGATAATTCAAGGGACTAGCTATTGCTATTGTTTGGCACATGCTTGTGATTGTTAAGTGCCATCGAGTTGGTTCTGACTCAAAGTGACTCTATCTGAGGTTTCCAACGAGCAGCTGGTCAGTTTGAATCACTGATCCTCCAGTACCACACCAGTGCTTAATAAAGACTTCTTGACTGATTCATTTGTGTAACCCATGGGAGGTGATCAACTTTGGGATTCTTATGTCAGTATCATAGAGATGAAGACTGATGTTTTTGACAAAAGAGTCATTTTGTGGGGTGGTATAAACCAAATGGCCCTTGAGCTGATTCCTACTTATGGTAGCCCCATGTGTTACATAGAGTAGAACTTCTCCATAAGGTTTTTTCAACTCTCATCATTGAATTATGATATAATTCAATGATATAAATTAACCATGGTATAATTTGGTAAAGATCACTGGGCCTTTTCTTTTACTATACCACGGAGTGGTTTTGAACTGCCAGTCTATAGATTAGCTGTCAAGTGCAAATACCCAGGGATATTTGGTGGCATAGTGGGTAAATGTGAATTTCACTCATATAAATTCAACAACAAAATATAGTGTGGTTTCTAAGTCCAGGCAGTCGGCCTTGCCATTCTATTCACTGAGCTTCTACTTCTAAGAAGGTGTGAGATGAAAATTTTAATCTAACTGAGTCACTGCCCATTGAGTGGACTCTCAGTGAGAGCAGCTTGTCTCACTGCACGTACCTCTAATACTTGAATAAATAGCAAGGAATTTTTATACAAGTTGCCCCTACATGCAGGCCAATTTCATTATCTAATGCCCAAAGAACCAGTGATGTGTTCTGATGCTGGAAGAAAAACAGACTCACTGAAGGGGCTTATGTTTGTCTCCACCATGGTACAGTTTTGATTCTGTATGGTTTTGCCTGATACTCTCGTTATAACCTAATGTCCTCTAGAGAGTGAGACTCCACTGCATCTTTTGGTCTTTAGAAAACTAGCCATCACTGTCAATGAAGACCACCTTAATTTCTGTTAAGTGCTGCCAAGTCTTTTCTGATTCATAGCAACCCTGTATAGTGTTTCTAAGAAGTGGCTGGTGAGTTGGAACCACTGACCTTGTAGTTCAAACTGACTTTGTAGTTAGTCAAGTGCTTATCCTACAGTACCACCTCAGGATTCCTTATTTTTTATTTTCTGTACTCTTGATATTTTAAGGAAGGTATTTTGCTCTTGTGGGTGAAGAGAAGCCTGTAAACACAGGCTATATACACATCTAAACATATAGAAAAATATGGCCTGTATGTTGCTTTTGTATGTCACAAGCAGATTAACATTTTGTTCTTCATCCTTTTCTTCAGAGTGCCTACCGCATGTTTACAAACAACACGTGTTTGAAGCACATGATCACCAAAGTCCGGCGGGACACCCACCACTTTGAACGTTACCAGCATAATCGGGACCTTGTGGGATTCCTTAACATGTTTGCAAACAAACAGCTGGAACTGCCAAGGGGCTGGGAAATGAAACACGACCATCAGGGCAAGGTAACCTGGGGCAGTTGCTGTAGGGGGCTTCTATGGACTGCGGGATGCCTGTGGCTTTGGCACATGGCTCTACCCTCCAGGTGAGGGCTGAAAGCTCTGTAAGGTGCATGTTCCATGATCTGGTCCAAATGAAACGTGAACAAGCACACTTCCCATTAGAAAGTGGTTGAATGGAGTGGAAAGAGGTGTGCGGGAACTTGGTTGGTGAAGCATTCTCTCTTCTCTCACGAGTCTTCTACCTATAATTTTTCATTATTTCCTGCTGATTGGAGAAAAGGTTTCTTAGACAGTGGCACTTCTTCCTTTCCAGTCATGCAGCTAGTGTTATAGAAATATGAATAAAAAGTTATTGTCTTGTTTGGAGAAGATGGCTAACTAATCACTAAGTGGCTTCACAGTGCGTGTCTTTTGAACACTGCATGGTTTGGGGCCTCGGTCTTGCTGGTTCAGAACCCTGATTTTGTTAGCATATCATACAAGACACATAGATTCACTGATGATGAGACTGCGTAATGCTTACACAGAGCAGTCACTTCTGCACTTCTTTGTAGACAGCGCCTCCAGAAAGTCTGGTTATACCCCTTTATAAGATTTTCCTTAGCTACGCTTTTTATTATTATTACTTTGGAGAGCTGGTGCTGCTTTAAGGTAAGCCCTGGATTGTTAACCCCAAGGTCGGCAATTCAAACCCACCTCGAAGACCCTATACAAGTTCGTTACGAGCTGGAACCAGCTCAGTAGCACTTAACAACAAACCTAGATAAATAAATTTATGATACTATTTAAGAATTGATGAAAATATTATAGCAATTTTTAAATAGTTTTGATGCTTGTTGTTATTAAGTGCTGTCCAATCAGTTCTGACTCATAGTGACTCTGTATATGGTTTCCAAGGAGTGGCTGGTGAGTTTGAACCACTAGCCTTGTCGTTCAAACCAACCTTGCAGTCCAGTGCTTTATCCCACAGTACCACACCAGGACTCCAACAGGGTAAACATTATCTGGGTTACGTGGGTAATTTGACTATCCAAATGTCTTTTTCCGTAGCCGGTTTGACTAATTTGGAGGTTGAAGTTTAAATTTCTTTGAAGTTTTAGACATTGTAAAGAACTGAGTGCTGCTTGGCTTTTCCTGAAAGACTTGGAAAGACCTGTGTTTTGGACAAGATGGTGTCAGACAAGCCTGAAAGTGTCTGACTTTGGCCTGATGGCTCTCCTTGCATAAAGACTTTGAGACTTTCAGTTAACCACTAGGTCTGCAATTCAAACCCACCAGCTGCTCCTCCCTCAGAAGCCCTATACAGGGTCACTATGAGTTGGAACCAACTCGATGATGTTTAACAATAGACACCTTAACAGAACCAGTTATCTCCCTGTGGTCCTCCATGTGCTTCTCTCTCAAGTGACTGGCTTCCACTCAACTCCAATTTTAACTTAAAAGAATGTTTGAGAAAGGCAAGGATGTGTCTGGTTTGACTGCATTGCTTCTGATGACTCTTGGCAGGAGTCCTAGCTCCCATCTTCCAGGCACTTAATAGGTTTTTGTCCAGTCTTGAAGTTTTAGTCCTTTTATTGTATTTTTTTTAATGAATTACTTTGCTTCTAGATGTTTTAAAGGGATTTATTTTTTTTTTTCTATTTTAACATAACATTAAAAGCTACTAAACACTGCAAACTTGTTTTCTCATATTTTCTCATTTTAGACCGACTTCTAGAATTGACGTGACATAATTTGTCCAAGTCCCCATCTATATGAAAAGAAATTATCCTTAAGAGGAACATTCTCTAGTTTAACTCTCCAGGCTTATAAAATGTTACTCCAGCTTATCTTCTCAAGCACACATCTTTTTTGGGTCTTCATTTATGTAGTCATCCAGCACATTTTTGAATGCCTATTCTGTGCATATCATTGTGCTAACAATGAGAAAAGTTAGCATTTTGTCACATGTAGTCCTAACTATATGCCAAACACTGTTGCAAGCATGTAAATTGATTTATAGGTTTTATTTCTGTCTATATTTTTGATGAGGAAACTGAGGCACAGTATGGTTAAGTGAATTGATCAAGGTCCCATAAGTTGTAAGTGATAAAATTGGGTTTGAATGTAGGGAGTCTGACTCCAGAGTGTGTTCTAAACCTGCCTCTCATCAGTGAGTCAGATGAATGGATACCTTCTAGCAGCTGTCATGAAGTATAGGAAGGGCTTTGCAGGATGCTAAGACAACTATCTGGCCGACTGATTGGAAGAGATCCATATTTGTGCCCTTTCCAAAGAGAGGTGACCCAACAGAATGCAGAAATCGTAGGACAATCTCTTGGATATCCCATGCGAGTAAAGTTTTGCTAAAGGTAATACAGAAATGGCTACAATCATACATTGACAGAGAACTTCCACAGGTTCAAGCCGGATTCAGAAGAGGCCGTGGAACAAGGGATATCATTGCTGATGTCTGATGGATTTTGGCTGAAAGCAGAGAATATCAGAAAGATGTTTCCCTGTGCTTTACTGACTATGCAAAGGCTTTCGATTGTATGGATTATGACAAGCTATGGACAACATTGTGAAGTATGAGTATTCTGGAACACTTAATTGTGCTCATGAGGAATCTGTACCTGGACCAAGAAGCAGTTGTTTAAACACAACATGGGAACACTGAATGTTCTAAAAATTAAAAAAGGTGTGTGACAAGGTTGTATTTTTCACCATACTTATTGAACCTGGGTGTCCTGGTGTGGTGCTGTGGGTTAATGTGCTGGACTGCAAAGTCGTTTGAATCACAAGGTTGGTGGTTCAAGCTTACCAGTCACTCCTTAGAAACCCTATACAGGGTCGCTATGGGTTGGAATTGACTCAACGGCACTTAACAACAACATTGAACCTTTATACTGAGCAAATAATCTGAGAAGCTGGGGTGTAAGAAGAAAAACATGGCATCAGGATTGGAGGAAGACTCATTAACAACCTGTGATATACAGATGATACAACCTTGCTTGCTGAAAGTGAAGAGAACTTAAAACATTTGCTGATGAAGATCAAAGAGCACAGCCTTCGGTATGGAAAACAAAAATCCTCACCACTGGACCAATAAACAACATTCATATCAACGGAGAAAAGATTGACATTGTCAAGGACTTCATTTTTCTTGGATCAACCATCAACACTCACAGAAGCAGCAGTCAAGAAGTCAAACGGCGTATTGCATTAGGCAAATCTGCTGCACAAGACCTTTTTGAAGTGTTGAAGAGCAAAGATGTCAGCTTTAGGACTAGGGTGCGCCTGACCCAAGCCATGGTATTTTCAATAACCTCATATGCATGCGAAAGCTGGACAGTGAATAAAGAAGACCGTAGAAGAATTGATGCTTTTGAGTTATGGTGTTGGAGGAGAATATTCAAAGTACCATGGGCTGCCAAAAGAACCAATAGATCCATTTTGGAAAAAGGTTGGTGATTTAAACCCACCAGCCACCCCTATGAAACCCTGTGCAAGGTTGCTTTGAGTCGGAACCAGTTCGACAGCACTTAACAACAACATGGGAACCTCTGGTAGAAACTCTTATTCCAGTCAAGGAGGTGGGTGCTTTTGTATGTATAACCTAAGGGCAACCTGTTGAATTAGTTGCTCCTTAGCTCCCCAGTCATAAGTAATTAGTCCCATTCTTAAATTCCCACGTAATTTTGCTTGTAATAGCTTAGGCCATTTATCCCAGTATATCTCATGGTATAGTTGTATTAACATGTTTTTTCTTCCTAGCCAATGATCCCCTTCTGGGAGAGACTTTTTTTGTTTGCTTTTTGTTCTTTGTCCTTGAATTACCCTCCTCTGTGGCACTGTGGGTTAATGCACTGGACTGCAAAGTCAGTTTGAACCGCAAGCTTGGCAGTTCAAGCTCACCAGCTGCTCCTCGGAAACCCTATACAGGGTCGCTATGGGTCAGAACTGACTTGATGGCTCTTAACAACAGCAAGCCCAGTGCTCAAGTACCCCTGGTAGTGTCCTGAATTATGCAAGTTGGGCTGCTAACCACAAAGTCAGCAGTTTGAATCTACTAGTTGCTTTGAGGGTGAAAGTTGAGACTTTCTGCTCTTGCAAAGATTTACAGCCTTGGAATCCCTATACAGGGTTGCTATGAGTTGGAACTGACTCCACAGCACACCACCACCACCACCACCACCACCCCAATGCTCAAAAAAGGTGTTATGAATGAAACTTGTCACATGTAGTTTCCAAATTAGTCAGTAGTCTGTGTTTTGTACAAATGAAGGACAAGTTGCCAAGCTTCTTGCCCATCCCAACTCTCCCCTCCTGCAGGCTCAGTAGAAGTAGTTTCTAGACTTGCCCCGTTTGACCTCTGTTCATGTACATGTTGTTCTGGGTTTTTCACATTACGTGTTTGAACAAGGTAGTGATTATATTTGCATTGCACTTTAGCTACCTTCAGTTTTGGAAGAGACCCTTTTGTTTTGTACTTATGTAAGGCCATGGGTTTTAATGGGGTGAAATTTCACAGGATTCTAGATCTGTTATGCTGTGTTTGTGGGTGGTGGGGGAATGTCCTTAACTCACATAAAGCAGCAAAATACTGTTTAAAAAAATATCCATTAATTAAAGACTATGAACAGATTATCAGGCCTTGCTGGGTAGGATTATGGTAATGATGGTGCTGAGACTTAGATTTATTAAGTTCATACCCTGTATCAGGTGGTCCTGGTGTGGTATTTGACTACAAAGTCAGTTTGAGCCACAAGGTCAGCGGTTCAAACTCACCAGCTGCTCCTTGGCAACCCTATAGAGAGTCAGAACTGACTCAACGGATTATAACAACAGCAGCAACCCTGTATCAGGGTTCCTGTCACAACCCTCTTTACTCCTCATTTGGGTTCAATATCTCATTGTAGTTAGTGGCCACACAGAACTCAGACACCATACTGAGTACTGGGTTTATTAGGAAAGTTAACAGGTTATACGTTTGGGGGTCAGAAATACTCAGGGCTTGGTTG